AGTATACCTAATTATAGATCATATTGTCAAAAAATATCACATTATAAATGTGACTGGATCAATAAAGTCTTTATTTTATTCGCAATTCTAGAAAACGAATTAAATGAATTGCTCTGAAATTCTTCCGAGTCTGCCAGACAGAATCACTGAATTAATAAAGAACCGGAAGCTGTTTGACGGAACTAAATATATCGCGGATCGTTATTACGTCAGTTTTGACACTTCAGAAATAGTGAATAGTTAATAACCAAGAACAGAGAACTTATTTACTTGATTCCAACTTTCTTAGTATGTCGAAAATTAAATTAATTATATTCTGCAGCGGTCTCAATTCGGGATTTTATTCGAATAATAGGATTCGTAGCAGCGCGATAGTTTCTGATTAATTGGACATTCCAAATGTTATATAAACTGTTATCTTAAATGTTTATTTTAAAAAATCCAATACTTTTAGCGCAATGTTCAAGTTTAATGTAATAAAACATTTTGTGGGCTTACTAATGATTAAACGAGCTTGGGTAAAAGTTTTAATCTTGAATGCGCACGCGAGTACTTTTTGAAGAAATAGTTTGTAAGTAGATCAGACTTGTACGAATTGGAACTTTTCAATATTTTATTGGACTTTAGCCGTTATACATCGAGTTAGATTTCTTCCATTAATATTCCTGTCTTTTTATGATTGCAGGTACGAGAATGCGGTGACGTTGAGAAACTCGATCCGAAAATACATATCGTAATGTACATGTGCCGAGTATTAATTAGAACATAAAGAAATCATATCCACAGCGTCTATACGACCCTAATTCACATGCTGATGCATGATCATTTCGCCGTTCTACGTTGACGTAACGGCGAGAACCAAATATCGACATATCGATTGCTAAACGTATCACACTACATCATTAAAACTCGGTAGACGTCTGCCACGTCGGTATATCTCGAACTGGTGCAAAATTAATTTTTGCACGATTTATAAAGATCTGCTTTATCCCGCCTCGTCTATCGCAATGGAGCATCGACAGAGAGATCAATCGTGAAGAATAGTCTCGCCGAAACGGACGATAAACGCATGTATTATCACGGAAAGTTATCGAAGTTGCACGTCAGTGACTGTCAGTCATTTCGATTAGGATAAAATATCGTTCTACGGGGCTCTCGCTGTGAAATTCCTGACGCGGTTGCTCGTGAAAGGAACGCGTCTCCCGTGGATCTCCTCTCTCTACCCGGGCGTTTAATTAGCGTCCTCGATCGTGTAGAAAGGAGGAACTAGCCTAGGCGCCCGGACCTTTCGACGTCACACGGCGAGAGCTGATCGGAGAGAGATCGAAGAGGGGCGAGAGGATGTTGCTGAGGTAACACGACATTTCGAGGCCGCACGAGAAGTACGATAATCGCAACGCGGGAAGGTGTCGATCGCAGCAGGCGCATAAAGGAAAGGATCGAAGAGTGGCGGAAGGATGGGTTTTCCCAGGAGAAGGTCGTTGTGGCTGAAAGTGGCGGTGCTGGCGACCGCCGTGTGGGTGACCGTCTGTTTTCTACTCTACACGGAGGATCGGGCGGCGGCCGCCGTCCAGGGGTTGGCACCGTCGGGCGTCGCGATGCCGCAGCAACCGGCAGCGAACGGCTTTGTGCCCGCGGCGCCGTTTAGAAAAGAGTCGACCGGAAATGTGATAAGCAACAGAGCGAAGAATCAAGCCGGACTGAAGCAAGGTAATTTCATCGACGTTGTTTTCGTTTCTCTCTTTCTTTTTCTTATTTGTTTAGCCAATTGGGAAATTATTTTTTTAGATATGTGGGATTATTAAGAATGTTAAAAAGATTGTTTTACAATATAACTGAAGAGAAAGAGAGAGACAAAGGATTCCGCTTCTGTTCGCATTTTTTCTTTCTCTCTTTTTTTCTTTTTCTCTCCACATAAGAATTATTTTGATTACTCTGTTAAAGTGCCGCGTATTTAGACAAATCGTTATCTTTGACACGAAAATTGAAGATGATTAATACTGCATTCTTCAGCTCCTGCCGATACGACGTAGGTGTACTGCGAATTGCTACATAAATCACGTCTGTTAGGAAACGGCTTAATAGGCGGACACCGCACACACGCGCGGGTTAAGTGCGAGTTAGGTCTTAATAAGCTGATAGATGTCCCTTTTGGAATGCATGGGCTGTGCATGAATCATACTCGAGAATGTTTGATTACTTCGCGAGCCACCTGTGGCTCAATGTGTCCGATATTTCGAATACGTTTTTCAAGTAAGGTGAATGAGAGAAAATTATTAATAATTACACATTTTCCTAATTGCTTATGAAACATTTGATAATTATGCATACGCTATGTGCGTAATTCAATATGAGATTTTTACACAAAATGAACATAAAATCTGTAGAATGTTAATAATTACAATCAAAAAATTGATTCCAGTTGTTTCAAAATTTCTTTCTGATTTTGCTCTGGATACAAATTGTGTACAAATTCTATATATGATGAATTCTATAGATGATTAATTCTCAGAAAATTATTTATTGAGAGTTTAATTTACGGTTAGTTGAACAGAAAGAAAAAAAGAAGAATAATTTATTTTGAAATGAATGTTTTAAATCCTTTTAACTTGATATTTGCATCGATTGCATTATGCTTCTTGCGTGTCAATCGCACAAGAGGAGCATGAATAAAGGCAAACCGCACGGAGAGGAAGAACGTAGAGCGAGGTATGATTGTATTGTACACGCGAAGGATCCTCAAAGACGAAAGTTCTCTAGGGCACCGCCACGGGTGCAATAAGGAATCTTTGGTAGTTCACCCACGGCGTTCCCCCTTATTGCCAGACGCGAAGTACGAATAGGGCTTTCATAATGCATGGATCATCCCGGCGATATTGTCGGTGTAGCACGCTAGCGAATAGCGCGATACATGTGCTGGAGGGGAAGTCTGTAAATGTGGATCCCGAATGATGAGCTTAGTCGTTCTCGCCGGTTGATGCCTCTCACGAGCTCGCATTCGCGGGGAAACTTGACGTGCTCGCACGCCCGGAATGATGCGTTAATGAATTTAAATGCCTCCGCGGGCATGAACGCGTGCTCCGGCGCCGAGATGACTCTCGCGCTCATCTCGCGCGAACGAAGAGGAAGAACGGCGTCGATGACGGCGCGGCGGCGGCGGCGGCGGCGACGGCGGCAGCGATCCCACCAAGAAAAGCCCGTAGCGTAACAGCGACGCTGCTGTGATGCACGACGCGAGTTTCACCGCCGAACTTCGTGGCGGCCCGGGTCGCGGCGCTAAAGCAATTTGTCGTCCTCTTTATTGCCGCATCGTACACACCGGGGCCGAACTTTGTCGACCGGGATAAAATTATTTTCAGGACAGGCGGGTCGGGCGCGGCGCAGCCATATCGCCGGAGCGTATACTTGCTTCGTTGGCTTTAGCTGCAGCTATGCCGCGGCAATATGGCGCCGGCAAATAAAACTGGAGTTTATGCGAGAAAGCTCTTAGAGGGTGTACCTCGAGACCCCGGCGGGGACGTGGATGTGCTGAAAATTCAATTCCCGATGCCCCTTTTTCTCCGGCGCAGCGCGTCGTCATCACCGCCGCCGCCGACTCGTTTCTCCTCGCGCGCTGACGTTAAGCATCATACTCTCGCTATTCAGGCGAAACGAGAAGCGGAACGCGAATTAGCTAGAAACTAAACCGGAACGCGACAAAATACGAGCGGGGCCACGAGTTTGGCATGAGTCACCGAATTGCTTCATTTGCCTTTCTATCTCGTCGACGCGTAAAGCAGCGCGATAATGTCTTTCTCAATTCATTAGCAGTATTCTAACTTTAGAAGAGTTCTCTTTGCGATATAAGACTGCGCTTATAAATATCGTTACTCTTTGGAACGTAATGATTTTTCGATGCTGTCGTTAGTAGAGCAATATCGATTCCAGAAACGGCCAGACTCCTTTTTCCAATCATTAGCCTTGAAGATACGTCCATAAGAATTTCAATTTTGATTTTGAATTATGAGAAGAGAAGAGAGAATTGCATGAGAGTGAAAAATGAGATAAAAAAAGCATAATTTTTTAAATAAGAGGATATTACTTGTTATAATAAGAAACATTCTTGAATTGCTTAGGAAATATAATATAACTTTTATTCCTTATTTAAAAAATATTTCGCGAAATTTCCGAAGCTTGGCATATGACAGCTTTTATAATATTTTAACAAAAGTTTAATAAATTAATGTGGTTCACTTAATTTTATTAGCATAATATAATTTTATTTCTTCTTTAAAAATATTTCATGAAATTTCCGAAGATTGGCATATGACATAGCTTTTATAATATTTAAATAAAAGTTCAATAAATGTGGTTCACTTAATTCATTTAATTCAATAAATTCAATTAATTAAATATGGTTATACATAAATGTCATATTATAATCTTAAATCTACCTAATTTGACGGGATGAGGTAAATTTAAGGGTACATAATTTCCAATTAATAGACATAATGTAAAATATCTCACTGTAATCAACTCACGTGTCAACATCCACGCACGACGTCACTCATTTGTGATCTTCGATGGCTTTTAGATCCCATAGTACCACGGAAGTTGGATGCTACAGCAGCCGGCGAGATGGGCAGGCCCGTGATATTGCCGGCCAACATGTCCGCGCAGACGAAGAAGCTGGTGGACGATGGCTGGCTCAATAACGCGTTTAATCAGTATGTCAGCGATCTAATCTCCGTGCACAGATCTTTGCCCGATCCACGCGATCAATGGTGAGTCATATATTCATATAATGCTGACTTGCAATAGTTGATCAAAGTTGACGACATAATTTGCTGCTATTTAATATTATTAATTTCTCTCCTCTATTTTCCTTCGGAGAGATAATAGCTTACCAACGACGTGTCTCTGCAATAATGGAAGTTTTATCGCAAATTGTCCTGTAAAGGACACATGCGATTTATTATATACAGAGACACGATCGGTGGCTCGTTTATCAGCGCGATATTTCCTATCGGGGGAAACCGAGAAATATACGCAAAGTGAATGTAAAAAAGGAAAGAAAAACGGGCGTTTAAAACGGAACATCTCTGGAGGGTATGTTATATCCGGTGTAAAAAGGGTATGATACTTTGGGTCCCCGAGGTAACCGACGGAGTAACAGCCAGCGGCGTTTCGCCGATCGTGACAGATAGGCCGCGGTAATGCGTCGGCGAATCGTGGCCGTAAATGTTCCATGTCATTTTTCCTTTACTGCCGCGATGGTCGCATCATAACATGGTGGTCGTTGATAAAGCACCGCGAGTCGGAGGTCGCGACGCCGCGTGACCCAGCCATCTCTGATCCGATCCTCCCATTATTTCCTTTCGCTCGAGAGAGGATCGCCTGTGTGAGCTATAGAGCATCTCCGGTGCACAGGGAGACGAAGCGTACGTTACGAGCGGCATTGAATTAATAGTTTCCTTTGCGAATGCGTGTACACTGACGAAAAAAATTCAGACACGACGCGGGATACGCTTGCGAAGCAACAGCTACATCATAAATTGCTCGTAAATTGCGCAATATCAGAGAAGCAGCCTTTTTTTTTTAATATCGAGACCTGTTTCTCACATTCGTAACTTGTAGACTTCTTCTATAAATAACGTGACCAGATGTCCTCCTTCTTTCCCGAGAAAGGACAATCTTATATTCGATAAATATGTCCTTGCTAAAAGTATCTTATTTCTTAAAAAGATATGTCGCCCTCATATACCACGTCGTCGACAAAATACGAAATTTTATACGTTTTATTTGTCCGGTGTAAATATATCATACATTTATTTACCGTAATTGTGTGTAAAGGACAGGAATGCTGCGAGTAAAAAAATTGCATTTTATCTCCACCGGCTGCCGAGAGCGTTGCGGACGGGACATCGAATGTACCTGTTAATAAAGTTTCTGTTAAATGTCGATATCGTATGTATGATCGGAAATTACTTTTCTTTAGTCTTGCGTTCCATCGTACCAAAGCGCAATTTATTCAAGCACAACGCGCACGATCACGAAGGATATTAAAAGCGGCTTTTGCGGAGAGCGAGGCAACTCCGCGTCCGAGGGCGGTTGCTGTCTCTCGTTTCCGAATGAAATACGCAATGCGATGGTGTTTGCGAGGAGCATTTCTCGAGTATAATATTATAACGCAATGCCTCATGTAATTTGCATCGCGCCATTATTTTAATTACGGCACTAAGTTAAACGCGCTGCTATTATATGTAAACATCTCCCTTGAACGAAGAAGAACAGCCCCCGCTAATGTATACGTACGTGCATGCTTATATGTGCGTCCAAGCTATGCTAATGACCCTCTATTCCGAATTCTTGTTAACGTTGCAAATTATTTTCCGTCTACGTCGCAAATGCAATTTCACGGGGCCGCCGGGGGAGAGGAGAGGAGGGGAGGGGGAGGGGGAGGGGGTGTTCGCGTCCGCTCGCTTGCGCGAAGTACTACGGGTACGTGTTACGTGTTGTTTAATTAATTGCACTGTGCCTAATTTGTTGCGCGAGTTGACCGTAATAGTCTACGGCGAAAAGAGCGTGGCGCGTGCGCGCGGCGTAGTTCGGAAATTTAATCATTGGAAAATGCGTTACCGGAAATTAATACATTGCCCCGCCGCCGTTCTTACGTCACGCGGGAATTCTAAAACTTCCCTCTAGGAAGTTTTCAATTATACTATTTCATTAAGAGAGGACGCTCTTTTTTCGATCTCAATCACGTTAAAGGCTTTCCTTCTCGCGGGCAAATATGTTCGTAGAATTTAAATTACTGCTATTTAAATTTAATATTGCATCGTAATATGAATACGATGTATACGTTCATTGCCGGCTGCCGGTAAAATTCTACATTTTGCCAGAGATATTTAAATACTACGTATATTTTATTTCTGCCGCACTTTTTTCCTGATTTTTCTTGTCTAAATTTTTTTTACTTTTTATATTATTTTAACATGATTTAATTCTTGCGCCTAATTATGCAAATTACACCAAAGCAACAGATTGATAATTTTGTTACGATCCGTCGCGCAGATCGACGTGATTTATTCGGATGAAACCGTAGGGCCGTAACTATGCAGTACCTGCGGTACGTCCGAAATATGTTTCGCGGTGACCGTAAATTTTCGCTAAAACTTCGTCCTGGCGGCGGCAGCGGCGTCGGGCCGACCGCGGTAGCGAATTAACCCCATGAATATTAATTACAATTTACATGATATTAACCGACATTATCAGGACAGGTGGGCAAACTTCGTGGGTGCCTGTTGTTACTGACACACCGCGAGTCGCGTCCGTAACTAACGGCTTGGATAAAGGTGCTACCACACCGGCCCAGGTGTGCTATATGACGCGTTTACGAACAGGTGTCCCTGATTTAGAGTCGCGAGAATTGTTCAGAGAAAGTCGGTAATCATCGCATTGATATCACGAGTATTGTTCGAATCACGATTACCCCGAATGATAAAAACACTTGGGTAAATAATCGTAATTTTATCAAGTACCTCGTAATGTAAACTTATCGATTAGTCATGAATACGTTGCGTATTGTTTATAAAAATTCGTTATTGATTTATTAAGCGGAATAAAACAGTCGATTTGGATGACTACGTTTTATATACTCGTAAATTGTTCAAAGGGAAAAGGTAGCGAAAGGAAACATTTATCCAATTAGCAGGCAACACCAGGAATAATAATTCGGTGTATGGATAGCGCATTTATTCGTATCGAATTCATACCGAATGCTCTTATTTTAACGGAGTTTTACGATTTTCTTGTCAAATATTTTCCTTTTCAATGAGAGCGACACGAAATAATCGCCATGGGCTTTTTTTCATATAAAAACGAAATATTATCGCTTTTTCCATTGGTGCTGTTTTATTATACTGTATTTGAAAAATATATTTCCGGTAGCTTAAACAGTTAAAACGAGCTAATTCTGGATTTTATTGAATTAGCAGTCACAGAGTCGAAATAATTAGCGATTACGATCGCGTTAGTTAACAAAGGTACAACGCGTCGGTGGTTATTAATTAATAATTTAAACACCCGAGGGCGACTGTAATTACCGCGGTGGACCAATCATTTAAAGTGGTCGTTATCTCCGCCACGGTACATATTGTTTTTTGAATATTCAATTAAGCGACCTTCAACAGCTCGGTGCGGCTCACTGAATAACGGAGGGCCATCTCCCTTCTGTAACGAATGATTTAATTAATTTTACAATTGACACAGAACTATTATATAAAAAGTTAAATCTTGTAGGCAACTAGAATTATCGAGGTTTTACATAAAAAGTCGATAAACCATTTATCGGCACAATAAAACCTCTATTTTGCTAAATTGTAGTAGGTAATATTTGAAATAAAGAAAAATGGCCGTATATTTATTTATAAAGGTAGATTAAACTGTTTATAAGGTCTAAAGAAAATGTTTATCTATTTAAAGATAATGAAATTGCATTGAAGTTGACGTTATATTTGTATTTTAATAATGTAACTCTCTGAAGAATATATTGAATAAAGAAAATCTTGGATGATGCCGTTCAACAAGTCAAAGATTGATTCTTGGAGATTTGAAAGTAAACAGAAGACGATTCGGCGGAGGAGACGAGCAGATCAATGCATCTGTAGCGATAAGAGGTGAGATAAAAGGTCGCTCTCTTCTCGCGGTTTTCCTATCTAAACCTGGTGGCGCTGCCCGGGCAAGAGCTCTGCGGAAATGGAAATTTAAATATGCAAATGGCGAAACGTTCGGTTTAATAAGCTGCTCCTTCAGCGACTGTGAAATTCGCTTGCGAGGACTTTGCTTAATTATCACATTACCAAACAGCGAGGAGCATCCTCGTGTTTCCAGTATTTGATTTTGTATAAGTTATTATACCTGGGTATCTCTGGTCTTTCAACGTTTCGCACAATGTTTATTATTTTCAGGATATATTATAATCGCAGCAGCTTCATCTTTTAAATTTAATAATTGAAATACATATAACTTTTACAACATAGTAATAAAATTGTAGTTAACTTTTTTTCAAAACTCTTATCAGTGTTCTGTTTAAATAACATCACGTTAAAATATTAGTATTATATGTATAATTTAAAAATTACCTAATGCTTCTCTATAACGAAGAGCTACGTGATAATGTGTAAATTATTGCGCGCAGATATTTTACGCCATTTTTCATCTGGTCGCAATTAAGATTTAATCCCCTTGATCCTTCGAACGAATTTACGATGAAAATTTGAGTTTTCCACGGTTAATTTCCTACGGGCAGCTCCGCGGTCCGTTTCTCATTAGCCGAAAAGTTTTCTTGTCTAGAGTGTATACCTCCTTTCGAAGCGTCGAAAAGGCGAGGGAAAATTGGTGATGTCGTTTTGCCAGCTAGGCTAAAAGAAAGAAAACGGGTGTAAAAAAGCGATATCTAGCGAGAGTTTAACGAGGACTTATGAGCAGCATGGTTCCGCCAGCAATTTCGTGGAAGGAGCTCACATTGCTGAAGCTAGGCAGCGTCTATTATGCCGCTTATTGAGGAACATTATATTATCGATATATTGTGCGAATTGTGCGCGCAATTCAATAAAATATTTCAGAATACGTGCTGGTACATACGATTCCCTTCGATCGAGTTTTATCCGAGATTTCAGAGCAAAATTAATTTTCTCTGGCTTTATTCATCGTTCGCGATTGAATGATTGTTACTATAAAATTTTTAATCCCTCGCGTTGTCAAAATTCTGTTAAAATATTAC